TGCCATCTGTTAAAATTGGAACGATACAGAGAAGATTAGCATGGCCCCTGCGCAAGGATGACACGCACAAATCGAGAAGTGTAACCAATTTTTTTCCGCTTTTCCCGTAAAATTGTTCGTTTTAACCCCACAAGCTACGAACTATAGTACTAGGGAGGACCCTATTTTATTGTTTCCCTAAGACAGCTCTGTCTTAGTGTCAGCCAGAATTATGGACAGATGGGACACACATAAGCACATATTGCCCTCTTCGTGTCTACGCGTATACAGTCCTTTTTTTCAACGGTTGAGTGCTCGACGGTATTTGGCTTGTGTTGGGGTGTAAAGGCAACACGAATAATCTTTTTGAGGTCTTTTCCTTATGTACGTATTCACAAATAACGGGAGACAAGGTGCCTGAGCAGTAGTCATTCACCAGCAAACGAATTATCAGTTTCAGCCGGCGCCTTAACACTTCCCTGCTATTTTCTGGATCCCTTCACACCCATTATTGTGAGGAATACTTTAAGCGGAAAAATATATCTCCAGCATCATGTCTTCTTTGTATTGCGGTTACTACTATATATGAATTCATTCTTGTGGTGGTGCTCCTGCAGTGAGACCCAGGCGTTGGTTCGATTACCATCACCACTACTTCTGGGTTTCCAGCATATGCCCTCTGTCGGCATCTTTTCCTATAAAATGTCAGGTTTTGAAATTAAATATAAAAAATGGATTATTATACTAGGAGAGCATGGTCAGCTTTTTGTTCAGATCCCTCCAGCATGCGAACTGGCCCCAGGGCAAGTAGCAGCAAATTTCAGCAAAACGCTTAGTAATAATTACATTTAAAATCCCCTATATGTTAAGAATAACAATTAAAGAAAAAGCACCAGAATACCTCCAATTACTTTGCCCCCACAGGACTTGATTTCCTAGGTGACCCTGACCAGTGATGGGCGTTCCCTTAGGCCCAGTTGGGCACCGCAGGACGGCCTCCTTCGGGAGTGCCATCTGTTAAAATTGGAACGATACAGAGAAGATTAGCATGGCCCCTGCGCAAGGATGACACGCACAAATCGAGAAGTGTAACCAATTTTTTTTTCATTTTATTCAAATTAAATATATTTCCCGGGTTGCTTACCACTGTAGATATATTTATTCCTCCCTTTGGGGCCAAGGATTTCTTCTTCGGCTCATAGCAGCAACCAAAAGGAAGAGAATTTGATATATGCTGGGGGCCTCTCCGTGGACTTGTTGTCTGGTTGCAATCAATCTTTATTTGGTGGTTATAAAGCTCTTTTTTACGTATTTGTTTGCTTTTCTTTAGTTTATTCGCCTTTCTTCAGGATGGCAACAACTGCAACGTGGGGCAGCGCTGGAGGTGAAGGGCCTCTCGGTGTTCCTTTGTGTCTTCTTCTTTCCTAGCCGCAGCAATTTAAAAGAAAAGCTGCAGCTCAAATGAATGGCTTCCCATCAGAGTGTTGTTATAAGCTGGCCTCCTCCTCCCCCATCTCCTCTTTCAACCGTAAACCGTAAAAAATGCATTGTTTATGATCCGCAGTTGAGTAATCCTTGCTGCAATGACTCCCACAGTATCTGTGAGAGTTTGAACTCCTCATGAGGCCGCTGCTGGTGCTGCTGCTGCCGCCGCTGCTGGTGCTGCTGCTGCTGCTGCTGCCGCCGTCTGGCCACGCGCTACAGTGGGGTATTCCTGCAGCTGCTCCTATAGCAGCTGCTGCTCTCAGAAGGACCCCTAACTCTTTGCTTCGAAGCCCTTCTTTCCCCGCCTTCGCGGCTTCACAGACTTTGCAACGCAGACACAGCCGCTGGCTGCCCTCGCAGCAGCAGCAGCAGCAGCAGCAGCAGCAGCAGCAGCAGCTGCAGCAGCAGCAACACGCCGTTTCAGCCCACCCTTTCCTCGCCCCACAGCAGCAGCAGCAGCACAAGCAGCAGCAGCAGAGACTGAAGCAGCAGCGCCGGGGCAATGGCATCATTTTGTCTTCGGCTCAGCCGGCGGCAGGAGGAGGAGGTGCGCCTGCCTCTGCATATACTTGGGGTGTACATACACTCCAAATGAATGCAATCCTTCCGGGCTCTGCCCTAGAAACTCACATGAACAAACTCATGGAAGACCCCATCAAAAATATGCCAGTTGGTCTCTCTGCCGGTTGCTGCTGCTTCTGTGGCTGCTGCTGTTTGCTGCTGCTGCTGCTGCTTCTGCTGCTGCTGTACCCTCTGGTTCCCCTGCTTCTGCGCTGTACTCTGACTGTTCGTGGGGTTTCATTTATGAGTGTATTTCTCTTCGCTCCTCGTTGGTGCTACTCCCGCTCCTCGTCGTGCTGCTGCTGCTCTTCCTCCTCTTGCTGTCGCTGCTCCTGCAGCAGCAGCAGCAGCAGTAAAAGGAGCTGTTGCTGTTGTGTGTATCTGCATGCAGTGGGACGTGTATGTTCCTTTTTACAAGCAGTTTGGTCGCGGCACTGACAACAACTGGCTGCACTTTCTGCAAGGCAACTGGACCTTTATTCAAGATAAAACATATGCAGAGAGGCCTGTAGGTAGGTGTACATACACCGCACAAACCTCCTGCATGCATGCGAAGCATGAATTACAACTGCGCTTTTTCTGTCTTTCTTTGACTTCGGAAAGCCATTGATATACACCCTGATGCATGCAAAGGCCGCTGCTGCTGCAACATATCTTTTCTCAGAAGTCACACTCGGCGTCCACCGACAGCAGCAGCAGCAGGTGCAGCAGCAGCAGGTGCAGCAGCAGCAGCAGCAGTAGCAGCATGTGCAGCAGCAGGTGCAGCAGCAGCAGCAGCAGTAGCAGCATGTGCAGCAGCAGCAGCAGCAGTAGCAGCATGTGCAGCAGCAGCAGGTGCAGCAGCAGCAGCAGCAGTAGCAGCATGTGCAGCAGCAGGTGCAGCAGCAGCATTTGCAGCATTTGCAGCACTAGCATTAGCAGGAACCATTTTGGGAGGGATAAGGAATGTTTGGAGCAGCATGACGATGTGCATGCGATTTCATATGCAGTTTATGCTGTATTTGTTTATTTTGCTTTGTTTTTGTTTTGTTTTATTTTCTTTTGTTTATTTGCCTAGGTTTAATTGATGGGGGAGCAGAGAATTACGACGGGAGGGGGACAAGCTTGCCTCTTAACCCTCTTTCTATTGATAGGCCTCGGGCTGTCTCCTGGCCGCAGCACTTAGCACATGGTGTGGGGTTTAGAGAGGCTTTAGATAAACCCTATGCACTCAGACTCGACAGACTTCCAGACGGAAACCAAGACACTTACTTCGGTACTCCTGCTGCTGCTGCTGCTACTGCTGCTGCTGCTGCTACTGCTGCTGCTGCTACTGTGGCTGCCGCTGTGGCTGCTGCGGTTCCTGTGGTTGCTGCTTCTGTAAATGCTACAGGTGCTGTGGCTGCTGGTACGAGCGTGTTGTACCAGCAGCCACAGCTGGTGGTGCTGTTGCTGTTGCTACTATTACTGCTGCTGCTGCTGCTGCTGCATTGTGGGGTTTGTATTGTTATGATTTTTATATTAGGCGAAAGCGACGAAGAGTTGGAGGACCGACTGTGGGGCAGCTGGGACAGCCCTCAGGCGCTGCACGAGGTCTGGCCAGAGACAGGTGAGCGTTCTGCTGCTGCTGTTGTTGGTGCTGCTGCTGCTGCTGCTGATGGCTGTGATGCTGCTGCTGCTGATGGCTGTGATGCTGCTGCTGCTGTTGCTGCTGGTGGCTGTGGCGCTGTGGTGTGCTGTGGGGTGGTGGTGCTGCATAATATATATTTTATATTTAATTTATATATTATCTACATATACTATATATATAGCTAATATATATAATATAATATTTATTTTAATGTTATTGTTTGTAATATTATTTGTGGTAACACGCTTATAATAAAATAATATTGTGTAATGTATTTATAAATATATTTTCTTTTTATTTAGCACAATTATTTTAGTATAATTTATTTCATATGATTTATTCTAACATATTTTTACTTATAGAATTTATTTAATGGCAATATTATTTAAAATAATATTAATGTTTATATACTGTACAGTATATATAATATAAATATACAGTATGTATAGTATATATATATGTATAGATGTATATATATATATATATTTACGTTGTGATTTAATTTATCTCCTTATTAAATAGAATTTAATTTGTTATAATTAATTAAACATAATTCATTAAGTTAAATTAATTTATTATATCTTTTTTGTTTTATTTAGGGTGGAGAGATGTACTACCAGACGAAGATATCACAGGGATGCCGAAGCCGTGGACTCATATGCAGACAGATATAATGGTGCATGCATAAATTATATATTTTAAACATTCTTAATCTTTTTTTTAAATGCATTTTAATATATTATCTATCTTCTAGTCTTCGTCCTCATCTTCTTGCTTCTGCTTCTTTTCTTGTACATGTTCTTGCTACACTTCCCCCCGTTTGTCTTTTATATTTCTTTTTCTTTTCTGTCTCCTGCTTTTATGTTTATAGCCTGTTGTTCTGTCTCTCATTTAATGTTTGTTATGATTATTTGCTTTTATGACTTTCGCCTACTTTGTCTTTGATGCTTATTTTGCTGTCTCTGTTTTATTTGCCTTTCTTTCTTTTTAAAGTAATTTTTCATTCTTTCTCTCTGCATGCATGCGTGGCTGCCCTATCGAGTGCCGCGACTGCCGACATACAGCGGATTGTGATGTTTGAATGCTCAGCTGCTTCTGCTGCTGCTGCTGCTGCCGCCGCCTCTCCTGCTGCTGCTGCTGTTGTTGCTGCCACTGCCGCCTCTGCTGCTGCTGCTGCTATTGTTGTTGCTGCTACTGCTACCGCCTCTGTTGCTGCTGGTACTACTGCCGCCTCTCCTGCTGCTACTGCTGCTGCTGCACCTGCTGCCTCATTTCCTGTTGCTGTTGCTTCTGCTGCTGCTGCTGCTGCTGCTGCTGCTGCTGCTGCTGCAGGAAATGCCTCCTCACCACCGCGACCCTTCATTTGGCCCCCCTGAAATTCCAGTAGAAGTCGAACTCGCAGCTGCGGGGATGTGGGGTGGATATTTCTTAGAGGAGGGTTGGACAAGGCATGCAGGTAATGTTTATTTTATTATTTTTTAAGAATATACTTTGTTCGGTTTATTTATTTTGCTTATTTGTGCTTGCTTGTTCTTAGGATATGCTGCATATTTTTACCTTTGTACATACTTTGGGTTCTCGCGTTTTCGTATTCTAATTTATATCTTTGCTTTTTCAGTGATGTATTATTTATACGTGCACAGTAATGCCTATAAATATATATATATATATATATATACATATATATATATATATATATTTATATTTATATATATGCATCTTGGTGTTTATGTATATTGCTATCCATACAGGTACATATAAAAAGGGTTTCCGTATATGTGTGCGTGTGTAGACGCAGCAGTGATGTTTGCATGCATTGCTGCTGCTGCTGTTGCTGCTGCTACTGCTCGAGGACAGCCTAGGTGTCTCCTTGTCTCCTGATGCCTGTCTCCTTTGTCTCCCGATGGCTGTCTCCTTTGTCTCTGCATATCGGCTACTTCGTCTGTCTCGCGTTGCTGCTGTGGCGCTTGCCGTGCTAGTACATGCCGGCTGTACTACTTGCTGCTGCTATTGCTGTTGCTGCTGTTGCTGCTGCTGTTGCTGCTGTTGCTGTTGCTGCTACTGCTGCTTTGCTGCTGCTTCTTTGCCGCTGCTGCTTTGCTGCTGCTTCTTTGCTGCTGCTGCATTGCTGCTACTTCTTTGCTGCTGCTGCTGCTGCTGCTGCAGACGCGATAGCCGAGTACCGCAAGGCCCGCGAGTGGTCTGAGGCAGAGGCAGCAAAGACAGACAACACAAAAACAAAAAAATCAAAACAAAAGGAGAAAAAAGGAAAGAAAGAAGAAGAAGAAAACTCTGAATTAAAACGCCGCACACAAGAAATCATCAAGGCACACTGGTGAGGCCCCCTTACGCCTCTTATCTGCTGCTGTTGCTGTTGCTGTTGCTGTTGCTGTTGCTGTTGCTGCTGCTTCTGACGGTGGTGCTGTTGCTGCTACTGTTGCATCTGGTGCTGCTCCTGTTGCTGCAGCTGCTGGTGTTGCTGCTTCTGTGAGGGCTTGTGTTGCGGCGGTATCGGGTGTCTCCTCTTGTTTGGTTGTGTCTCCTGTTGCTTCTGCAAGGCAAAAGCAGCAAACGTTTTGTCGCTTTTCATCTATTATATCATTCCTTCGGTCTTTAACGTGTCTCCTGTCTCCTTTTGTTTATTCTTACTGTCTGCTGCTGCTGCTGCTGTTTGTCTGTTGTATATTTCTGACTCCGCGTTGCTTTTATTATTTTGCTGTCTTGCAGTGTCTCCTCTTCAGTTCCTGTTCTGCTGTCTCCTTTATATATCAATGTCTCTTGGGGTGTCTCCGGGGTTGTGATGGTCTTTTTGTGCATTTGTTTGCTGTCTCCTTATATTCGCTGTCTCTGTTTCTTCTTCTTGACCCCCTTACCCTTTGTCTGTCTGGGTGTCTCCTTTTGTCTTTGTTTGTCTCTTTGTTTCTCTTTCTGTCTCCTTAGTATCTCTTTGTCTCTCCTGTTATCTCCTTGCATCTCGCTGTGTCCCCGCTCTGTCTCTTCGCTTCTCTTTCTGTTTCTGTGATGCCTATTTATCTGGCGGGGTGTCTCCATTTGTCTGTTTGTATCTCCTTCTGTGTCTCCTTCTGTCTTGGTTTGTCTCCTTTGTCTGCCTCATCTTGTTTATCTTTAAATGCCTCCTTTTGTCTTTATTTGTTTGTTTTCAGTGTCTTCTTCTGTCTTTTTATGCATTCGTTTTGATGTCTCCTCTCCTTTTGTCCCTTTCATGTATTTGTTTATCTTTAGCTGTCTCCTCCTCTCTATTTATTTGTTATTAGTGTTGCCTCGTATCTCCTGCTATTTGTTTATCTTTAACTGTCTCCTTTTATATATTTGTTCGAAGTGTCTCCTCTTGTCTCTTTTATTTGTTTATCTTTAAATGCGTCTTTATATATGTAGATATATTTATTTATTTAATTTATTTATTTATATTGTATATTTATATATTATAAATTATTAGTGTCTCCTTTTATGTGTACAGGGCAGATATAAGAAAGCATCCGGTGTATGTACGCGCTGTGGTTGAAGGTGCGACGCATGCAGCAGCAGCAGCAGCAGCAGCAGCAGCAACACCGGAGACAGCAGCAAGCATAGCAATGGGTATGGATATAACCAAAGGCCTCGAAATGCAAGAAATGCATGATCATACAGTACAAGGAGAAGTAAACCCCCCGGACGCTAAGGGGAAGACTATTGCTGTTAACCTCGCACTGTACAGCCTCAGCCCCTACAACTGCTGGTATATACAAAAACACTTTTCATACATCTTTGCATGCATGCATGCATGCGTGCATGCATGCATGCATGCAGACACAGCTAGATGTAGGCATAGGCAACAGACGGACAGCGCGAAAGAGGAGAGACGATCAGACAGAGTATATATACATATATATATACATATATATATATATATATGTCTGTACTTGCTTTATTACTAGTTATTTATCTCCTAAGGCATCTAAAGAAGAGCATGATGAGTTATATTCACATATATGTATATACAGACAGACACACATGTATATATATACATATATATATATATGTCTGTGCATGTTTTAATATTATTAGTTATTTATCTCCAAAGGCATCTAAAGAAGAGCATGATGAATTATATCATTACCTAATGACAGAAAACCACAGAGAGGGCCGATATACAGATTTCCCTACGGAGATTGTCGCAAGACAAGATATTGAATATGCACTTAAACCAAGAAGGTATATAAACTCAAAACCCTAAACCCTAAACCCTAAACCCGCCATACAACCGTAGAGACTCCGCTGGCCGTCCACCGAGAAGGCATCATCTCCTGTCTTTTGTTTCTGTGCTGTCGTTGCTGTTGTTGCTGTTGCTGCTCCTGCTATTGCTGCTGCTGCTGCTGCTGTTTGTTAGGGAGCGGTTTCCTCGCCTGATGGCTCTCTATCAGCCCTTGTGGGCTAAGCGAAAATACGGAGAAGAGTTTGGAGGACCCCTGCAGACAACAGACGTCAGACAGCTGCTGCTGTCTCCTTCATCTCTTTTGCTGCTGTCTCCTTCATCTCTTTTGCTGCTGTCTCCTTTTCTCTTTTGCTGCTGTCTCCTTTTCTCTTTTGCCGATGAATTCTTTCTTTCTTCATTGTTTTGTTTGTCTTTTGTCTTATTTTCTTGCTTTAATTCCTTCTTTATTTATTGTTTTGTTTGTCTTTGTTGTGCTTTATTATAGTGTCTTTGTTTTATTTTATTCTTAAATTATTTATCCATTTCGTTTGCCTTTGTTTAGTTAATTAATTATTTATTTTGTTTGTCTTTGTTTTTTTTGTTTATGCAGGCGGTGGCTGACGAGGAGTTCGCCTTCCCAGGCCATTTGGTGTATGGGGGATTAAAAGGAGACAAAAAGGAGACAGTTAAAGATAAACAGCAAAAAGAATAATAATATATAATAAAGGAGGCAATTAAAAATGAGCAGCAAGGAATAGAGTAATATATAATGCTTTATTATGTCTCTCTAATAGAGGCTTGCCTGAAGGAGTTAACTTTTTTATATTCATTACGCTTCGAATAAAAACAAATATATTTATTTTAAATGGAAATTATATTTATCTTTACTGCTGCGTCTGTAGAAGGCCTTCTGCTGCAAGCCAGCAAGGAGAAGAAATAGATTTTCTTAAAATTTTATGCAGACAGATGATATAAATGATATATAACCGAAAAGGCAGCAGCAGGCTGCTGAGGCGCCCTCTCTTCTTTACTGCATTAGGTGTACACTGGGAAATGTCTACTATTTTAGGGTTTAGGGTTTAGGGTTTAGGGTTTGGAGTTTAGGTTTCAGTTTCGGGTGTATGCGCAGCTGAGCGTTCGTCTCTATTTTCCGCAAGGGTGATCTCCTGCTCGGCATGGCCCCACAACTGCAGTTCTAAAAGCTCTTCCTGGTCTTTTCCCCTTTTATTTTCTGTTTAAATATATTTAAATATTAATGCTAATTATATAAATAAACAAATCAACGAAAACAACACCTAAACAGCCTCCTAGCGCTCTTGGGGGTGCGCGCGGGAGGAAGGCAAAGAGCAGATCACTGAGGGGTGCCAGCAGCAGACAGCAACGAGTTTCTTGCGAGCTTTTTGGGGGTTTAAATGCCTGGTAATAACGATTATAATGCTTCGAATTGATAATAGTGGCCAAAAATCAATTATATTTGCATTTAAAACACTAAAAATAGACAAGAAAACCCTAACAAATACTCCTGCACGAATCCAGCTGCTGCAGCGGCGCTACGCCGCGCCCGAACCGCGCGAGGTGTACGTGCAGATGTCTTTTTTTTGTATACTCTTTTTGTTTAATATAATAAATAAATATACTTAATTAAATAAAATGAACAAAATAAATACCATACGCAACACTGAAAGACGCCATTGATGCACGCAGAAGTTAAGGCCGTGCCTACAGGCGGTTGCGGTGTACGTACACCGCAGAGCAGAATATGTACGTTGACTGTCGCTGCTTCTCCTTCCCCGCTGCATGAGAGCCTCTTTTTAATGAATTTATCAGTTAAGTTTCTTTACTTTAAGCCAACAATTGGCTATTAAAGAGCTGGCGTTGTTTGTGAGGTGCAGCAGCAGCCGCAGCAGCAGCAGCAGCCGCAGCAGCAGCACAGCTGCAGCAGCGGGCGGTGCCCGCAGCAGCTGCACGGCGTTCTGCTTATGCAGGGTTTTGCTGCTGCTCTGCTGCAGCAGCGGATCCCTCGGAGTCTCTTCAAGGCCTTTTAGCCTGCTTATAAATGTGTGCATCCGGCGGCCCCTGTGTTGTTTCGGGTGCTGCTGCTGCTGCTGCTGCTCCGGTACCCAATCCTGCTGCTACTCCTGTTGCTGCTCCTGCTGCTGCTGCTCTGCCGTACACGTGCGCTGCGTGTTGCGGTGTACGTACACCTGAATGACGGCTCATGCCACAGAAGGAATATACACAGTGTTATTGCTTTTATCAACTACCCTGTAGACAGACTAACAGCAAGCAGCAGCAGCAGCGGCCGCAGCAGCAGCTGCAGCAGCAGCAGCTGCTGCTGCAGCAAAAGGGATATGCGAGCGCCGAGCTACCACTCCCATCATTTAGTGACCGATAAGCTGTACATACACCCCAACGCTTCCTTGTCTCGTGCTGCTGCACCACTCCTTCTCCGCCGAAGTCCCTTGCTGCTGCTGCTGCTGGTCTTGCTGCTGCTGGCGCTGCTGCTGCTGCCGCCGCCTGCAGCTCTTGTCGCACAGGCAGCAGCAGTTACAAGGAGCGGCAACACGTAAGAACAGTACTAACAGCCGCAGCAGCAGCAACAAGACAACAACAATAGCAACAACAACAGCAACTGCAGCAGCAGCAGCGGCAGCGGCAGCAGCAGCAGCGGCAGCGGCAGCAGCAGCAGGCAACACCAGAGAATGCCTGAAGCTGAGCCTGTGGCCACGCCAGCAGCTCTGTGTCATCGTAGTAGCAGCAGCAAAGAGAGCAGCTGCAGCATGTGCTGCTTGCATGCGGGTAGAGCACCCTCCGTGGGGTCTCCTCAGTGCAGCAGCACCTACAGCCTGCAAGACGCAGCAACAACAGGCAGCAGCCACAGCAGCAACAGGCGCAGCAGCAGCAACTGCTGCTTCTGCTCGCAAAGGAGTTCCTCTCTCTCCCGCCTCAATACAGCAAGCACCGTAGCCACCAGCAGCAGCAGCAGCAGCCCTCAGCAGGTCTTATCCTTAGGCGACTCCTTCTCCCCGACTTCTTACTCACCATCCAGTGCAGCAGCAGCAACAGCAGCAGCAGCAGCAGACGTGAATGAGAAGGGCCCATGTGCTGCGACAGGTGATTTATCTCCTTTGCATTCTTCGGCGTTCAGCGCATCTTCCGTTCCCCCTTCGCTGCATGCAGCAGCAGCAGCAGCAGCAACAGCAGCAGCAGCAGCAGCAGCCACAGCAGCAGCAGCAGCAGCAGACGAATGCGTCAGTTGCTGCATCTCCCAAACAGCAAAAGGGCTCGGAGAAAGTGCTGCTGCTGCGCACTTGCCGTGGCTGCCGAGGTCACTTGCTGCTCCCAGCAGCTGCAGCAGCAGCAGCAGCAGCAGCAACAGCAGCAGCAGCAGCAGCTACATAGGCGACCACAACAGATACACCAGAGCCCCAGGCAGTGCCCATAGAAATCTCCGGTGCTGCTGCTTTGTCTCTCCTTTAGGAGGAGACACAGGAGACGTCGATGCGGGGCCTTCAACTCCAGCAGCAGCAGCAGCAGCAGCAACAGCAGTAACAGCAGCAACAGCAGTAACAGCAGCAACAGCAGTAACAGCAGTAACAGCGTCAGCAGCAACAGCAGCAACAGCAGCTAATCGCAGCAGCAAAGAGCAGCGGGTGGCATCTGCCTATCTACGGCCGCCCCCCGTAAATTTGGGCGGCTGTATGCCAACTCAAATGCAGCAGCAGCAACAGCAGCAGCAACAGCAGCAGCATCAGCAGCAACAGCAGCAGCAGCAGCCTGGAGCAGCAGCAGACGAACAACAACTGCTGCTGCCGATCCCAGCGAGGCGCGCTGCTGCTCCCCTGCAGTCTTTTCACAGTGGATGGCCTAGACAGGTCTCTCCTCAGCAGCAGCAGCAGCAGCAGCAGCAGCAGCAAGATGCAGCAGCAGCAGAACAGCTCACCAGCGGCCCCGAGTCTCCTTGCAGAGGCATTGCGAAGCATGTCTCCTTTGGGAGTCCCCTTGTTGTCCAGGTAGCTGCAGCAACACCTCAGCAGCAGCAGCAACAGCAGCAGCAGAAGCAGTAAAAGCAATAGCAACAACAGTAACAGCAGCAGCAGCAGCAGCAACAGCAGCAACATTCTTAGGCCAAATGACAACGGTGGGCCCTGATGCGTTTCTGCAGCAGTAGCTTCGCACAATGCAGCAGCAGCAGCAGCCGCAGCAAATGTGTCTGTGCATCTGTCTATTTGCTGCTTCTGTGTCGCTTCAGGTGTATGAATATGCTTCCCCAGAGGGCTCTGGAGGAGCGAGCAGCAGCAGCCCCCCATCCCTCTTCGATGTCTCTGCACAGCAGCAGCAGCAGCAGCAACAGCAGCAGCAGCAGCAACAGCAGCAGCAGCAGCAGCAACAGCAGCAGCAGCAACAGCAGCAGCAACAGCGCAGCGCATACGCTGCTTCGCCGTCTCCCTCACGCATTAGCTCAGGCGTATACCCAATGCCCTCCAACGGCGAGCCACCGCAGCAGCAGCAGCAACAACAACAACAAGCGCAGCGACAGCAGCAACAGCAGAAGCAGCAGCCACAGCAGCAGCAGCAACAGCAGCAACAGGTATTTTTGTCTTTTCAGGCCTCGGGGTCTCCCCGCAGTTTGCGCCGTCATCGCGATTGGTCTCCCCCTTCAGCTGCTGCTGCTGCAGGAGAGCAGCAGCAGCAGCAGCAACAGCAGCAGGACGAGAGGAGAAAAGCCCGCCAGCCGCCGTGGACAGGTAGCAACAGCAGCAGCGGAAGCAGCAGCAGCAGCAACGAGAGCTGCGCATACACCTCAAATGATGGCGTCAACAGCCCAGTGGATTGCTTCACATACAGACACGCAGATCGTGCTGCTGCTGCTGCTGCTGCTGTTAATGGCCAGCTTCGGTCTTACGCAGAGCGGCTTGCAGCAGCAGCAGCAGCAGCAGCTGCTGCCGCTGCTGCTACTGCTCCGGCTGCTGCAGCACCAGCGGGACCAACTGCTCCTCCAAGCATCCTGCAGAGTGATGCAGCAACAGCAGAGAAAGATTTAGCAGCAGCAGCAGCAGCTACTGCTGCTACTGCGGCTGAGGATCGTGCTGCTGCTGCCAATACGGGGACGAACGCAGCAGCAGCAGCAGCAGCAGCAGCACCAGCAACAGCAGCAGCAACAGCGGCAGGGGGACCCATGAAGATTAGCAAGCTGCACGAAAGCAGAAGCAGCAACAACGCTCACCTGCAGCAGCAGAAGCAGCAGCAGCAGTGTTGTTATAACGCAGCGAACGCAGCAACGAGTGCTGGTGCGTCAACAGCAGCAGCAGCAGCACCCGAAGCCACATAGCAGGGCCTAGAGGGTTTTGTCTTTATTCTCAGATATTATTAGCAGCTGCAGCAGCAAAAAGAATTTGCTTTGAGTAAACGCCGCAGGAAGCAAAACAAAAAATACACCGGACGCCCTGCTGCTAATACACCACTTGCATGCATGCAAGTCTTGCATGCAATACCTGCATGCATGCTTGATTGCACGCATGCATGCATCACTTGAATGCATGTATGCATGCACCACTTGAGTGCATGCATACACCACTTGAATATACGGATGCATGCATGCATTTTGCATGTATGCACCATTTGAATGCATTTTGCATGCATGCAGCACTTGAATGCATGCATGCATCACTTGCATGCATACCTTTTGTATGCATGCATTTAGTTTGTTGCACTGAGCGCTCTCTGGGTGCATGCGAATATAAAGAAGGGAGGAGAAATCTCTGAAATGTATTTGGGTTGTCTGTTGCTGTCTTTTGTCTCTTGTGGGGTTATCAGGGTTTACTCACGGCTCCTTTATGCATGCATGCATGCATGCATGCATGCTGTATGCGACCATTTTGCATGCATGCACTTGCATGGCATGCGTGCACTTTGCATGCATCCATATTGCATGCGTCCATTGTGCATGCATGCATGCATGCATTTTGCATCCATTCATTTTTCATGCTTGCATGCGTTTTGCATGCGTCTATTGTGCATGCATGCATGCATTTTGCATGCAGTTTGCGTTCATCTTCTTGTGTGTTTTTAATGGCTTATGTTTGTGCATGCAAAAAGATATTTGGGGTCTGTTGCTTGCTTTCTTTTCGGCTATGCTGCATGCAAGCGCATGCAGCACTTGTGCGTTGCATGCAGTTTCTTCAAGTGTATATGCAGAGGCTCCAGCTGAGCCTGAAGCTGAGGTGTATGTTCACCGAAGCTTAAGGGTTTGTTTGCAGCTCCTAGTAGGCTCAGCTGTACGTACACCCCACCACTAACCTGCAAGTGCGTAGCTGCAGCAAACAGATAGCAACGGCTGCAGCAGCAGCAGCAGCGGCGGCGGCAGCAGCAGCAGCGGCAGTAGCAGCAGCGGCAGCAGCAGCAGCAGCAGCAGGGTCCGTAAGTGTGAAGTGTCTCCTGTCTCCTTTCTGCTGCAGCCCCTGTCTCTTCCCCCGCCCCCCCAACCCTCACCAGAGCGGCTGCTGCATGCGTAGGTGCTGCATGCACGCAGCAGCTATGAATGCATGCAACAGGTCTGCATGCACGCAGCAGCTATGCATGCATGCAGCAGATCGACATCGCCGGCGCAGCAGCAGCAGTGTTGGGGTTGGCGTTGGCTTATCTGCTGCACTTCTGTGCCTTTAGGGTTTAGGGTTTAGGAGGGTTTAGGGATTGCAGCTCTGTCTGCTGATGGGGAGGCAGCAAAATGCTGCATTATAATTAGAGCCGCTCCGAAGGAGTCTGCGCCGGCCACTGCAGCTGCAGTTGCTGCTGCAGCTGCTGCTGCAGCAGCTGCAGCACATGCATGCATGCAGTAGCTGCAGCAGGTGCATGCATGCATACATGCAGTAGCTGGGGTATACCTACAGTGCAGTCTGCGGCACAAGCCTGCTGCAGCTTCTGCTGTTGCTGCTGCTGCAGCAACAGCTGCAGCAGCAGCTGCAGCAGCAGCGCCTTTTGTTTGTCCCCTTTTTGCATCTGCTGGCCCCCTGAGGCTTTGCAAATTAAAGGAGACATATTTCTTTTTTTTCTTGCGCTTTTCATTTAAACGCATGCAACGAGGTGTACGTACACCTCGAAAGCCAAACTTGCACAGCAGAAATTCTCTCTGCAGCATTTGCTTCTTCTTGCCGTCCCCCCCTAAGCAGCAGCAGCAGCAGCGACACAGCACGCAGCAGCAGCAGCTGCTGCTGCTACTGCAGCAGCAAGAACGATAGTTCTACTACTGATGACGGGTGACTGCTGCTTTTGCTGCCCCAGCCCCTTACTTCTTAACCCTACTCCTACCGCACACTCAAGCAGCAGCAGCAGCAGCAGCAGTAGCAGCAACGTAGCAGCGGCAGCAAGCATCTCACTCTATGCTGCATACATGCAGCATCAAAGGATAAAACAACGTTTCAGGTGTATAGACAACCTTGTTTTAGGAGTTAGCATGTATATATATATATATATATATTTATATTTATATATAATATATACATATATCCCCAAAACCAGCAAAGGCAGCAGAAGCAGCACAGCAGCGGAACCTGCTGCTGCTGCTGCTGCTGTTGCTTCTAGTTCTGGTGGCTCTACGGCGGCTGCTGCTGTGGCTGCTGCTGCTGCTGCTGCCAGTTCAAAGGGCCGAAGGCGCCGTGCTGATGCTGCTCTTGAGGGTAGTATATCTGCTGCTGCTGTTGCTGCTGCTGTTGAGAGGTGCGATGCAGCTGTTGCATGGGTTGCAGCGGCGGGCTGTATAGACACGCGCTGTCCATACAGTACATGGCGGGGGTATGCTGCTGCTGCTGCTGCTGCTGCTGCTGGTGTTGATGCGGCAGATAGAGACCAGGATCCGGGGCATGCTGAAGCGGGTTGTAGATATGCATGGGGTTCCTCTGTCCCGTTGCAGCAGCAGCAGCCGCTGCTGCTGCTGCAGCAGCAGCATCTGCTCCTTCGGGTCTATGTAGCGGGCTGCTTGCAGCGGCATGTGGGGAGCTCGGTGGAGGCCCTGCTGCTGCTGCTGCTGCTGCAGCAGCAGCAGCAGCAGTAGGAGCAGCAGCAGGAGCTGGAGTTTGTCCTGTTGCTGCAGCAGCAACGAGTTGAAGAAAACTTTTATCTACTGCTTGTTTAACCTCCCTGTAAGAGAGGTGCAGCAGCGCTGCTGTCGGTGCATTCGTTAAAGTTAGCGTCTCCTCTGTTCCTAAATCGCACTTGTTTAATGCATCAAAGATATGAAAGAAGTCTATAACAGGCTGATTATTATTTACTAATTGTAAGAAGAGATAATTCCTAAAAAGAGACACAATAAACCTATCCCCAACATCCCCCCAGCTTGCATCAAGGCCTAGCCGTCCTCTGCCTACTATAAAGTTAATTTTGCATAGCAGCAGCAGCAATCTGCTGCTGTACATCTCTTTCAGCAGCAAGCTTTCATAACTATCTGCTAAGCTACATTCAGACTCTAGCAGCGGCAATGCTTGAGAAGCATATGCATGCAACAATGCAGCAGCAGAAGGTGCATGACCTCCTCTCTCTCCTCTGTCTCCTGCTGCTGCTCCTGCTGCTGCTCCTGCTGCTGCTGCTGCTGCTGCTCCCCCCCCTCCTGCTGCTGCTGCTGATCTTGCAGTGAAGAGAGACAAACATAAAGACTTTAACTCTGCGCTGTATACACGAGAAGACAACAGCTGCCGCATGCATGCAGCAGGAGATGCAGCTGCCTGCGAGTACCGCACAAACAAAATAAAATAAAATAAAATAAAATAATATATATTAAACTAAATTAAAGTTTGCGTTTGTACAGACAAACAAAGACAGATATTATAAATAATGAATAAGAATAAACAGAAGATGAAGATGAAGCAAAGAGAGACAGCAAAAGGATAAAAAACAAATAAAGAGTAACAGCAGCAGACATCAACGCTATTTAAAAACAAACAGAGAAAAAGAAGCAAAGATATTTAATGCAAAGACAAACAGAGACAGACATCTCCACCACCGTCTCCTTATAAATGAAGTAATATATAAAACAACAATAAACCCTAAACCCTAAACAGTAAACCCTAAACCCTAAACCCTAAACCCTAAACAAAGGAACAGAAAACCCTAAACCCTAAACCCTAAACAATAGAACAATAAAAGAATAAACCTTAAACCCTAAACCCTCATCCTTAATCTCTAAACCCTAAACCCAAGAAGAATAAACTATAAACCCTAAACCCTAAACCCTAAACCCTAAACCCTAGTCGCTTACTGCCTCGCCGCAGGTGAGTATGAGAATAAGTTTACCAAGTTGGTGGAGATCCCCTTGCTGTCTCTCTTTAAGTGTCTCCTCAGCAGCAGCAGCAGCAGCAGCTGCTGCTGCTGCTGCTGCATTTGCGCTCTCTGGTGGTATGGCTCCTGCAGCAGCAGCAGCTGCTGCTGCAGCAGCGGCCGCCGCTGCAGCAGCAGCAGCAGCTTGCTGCTGCCTCTGCTGCTGCTGCTGCTGCTGCTGTATATGCAGTGTTGCATCTAATATGCCGCAGCAACTCAGTCGCACTCTCAGGCGATGCGAGAGAAGAATCTTTGAAGGCTCCAACGCACCGTAAGCCAACCTGATTAACAAAGCCCCAAAGCATGCATGCATGCATGCAAAATGCATGCATGCAGAGTGCATGCACAGTGAAAAAGCAAAGAACAAACAAAAACAAACAAACAGCAACAAACAGCTACAGCAACAGCAGCAGCAGCAGCAGCAACAACAACAATACGAGCAGCAGCAAGACAAGCGGCGACAGACAAGCACCAATAAACCCCTTTTAAGAGTTTATATATCCATACAGATATATAATTAAATAAATATATAATTAAATAAATATATAATTAAATATACATACATATATATATGACATACTATATGCGTACATATACATATTACATATACACATATGCATAATTCATATGCATATATATATATATATATATATATATATA